CAATGATGCACGTTACAAATGTGCCACGCCCACTTCACATTGGCGCGCCCTGTTTAATTTTCAAACCGTGGAGAACCCTGATGTAATATAGGTGTAGGTGGAAAGTGTTCCTTTATGGAAACATTGCCTAGAAAGTTAACAATTCATAGACCACCTTATGCAACATAATTCAGAAATATCAGCAGGGCTAATTTAGTTGTAATTTGAATTTGAGCTAGATCAATGTCATGATAATCAGCCTTGATTTTTAATGTGTCGGCAAAATGAATCTAATGTTGATAAATTGTCAATCTTGTTGCAGGTATTGATGAAGATGACGCTATTGTAACGGAACCAGTCGCTGCTGAAGAGATGCCACCATTGGAAGGGGATGACGAAGATGCTTCAAGAATGGAAGAAGTTGATTAAAATATCTGTAGTTTTCATATACAAGATGTAGTCTTACTTCTTACAGTGATTTCATATTATTCATTTTATGCATTCCTATAACGTGCAACTATTGAAAACTCGAGTAATGTTTACCTGTTACATTCTGCCAATGAATAGGAAATCTTGTAAATACAGACGATTGACCTACTTTTGACATGATAAATAAGATTGTGCCGTTATGTATCAGTATTTGTTGTGCCAAGTTTTGTTATTAAACCTCAAAATACCTTAATACTTGTGTGGTAGGTCAATGGGAATGCAAGGATGCTTCTTATAGACAAAGTACATTAAACAAATGTGTGAGCTATAACGCAAGATAGTTTGTGATTGGATGATGGAAACCACTTGTAAATAACTGCATCTCGATGTTGATTTCTTTTTTGCTAAAGCAAATTGATTGCCTGCTATTTTGGCTACATTAAGGGACGACGTCAAAAGATCGATGTCTGATAAAAAAAACTTGTTTGCTTTAGTTTGGGGGTGGGGGGTTTTGACCTAAAAAAGTTTCCATCCAACAAAAACGATTTTATTTTCTAATGAAATAAAAAATACTTGTAGTTCGTTTTTTTTTAAATCAATCATAGACAAAAATAACAGAAAATGAAAAAAAAAACTCCAAGACGAGAAAATGGTTTGGTCTGATGTGTGTAAGTTTCAGGGTATAGACCTAGAGCATGTGCAGAACCCAGAAAAGTAGTTTGCAATTCTTACAACCAACTGCTATGCCATACTACTGTCAGATTATAAATTTTTAGAACCCCGTTCGAACGCAGTCCGAAAACGGGGACTTATGTTTTGCCCGGTGTGCGTCCGTCCGTGATCACCTGTATCTCGAACATGCATGGACCGATTAAGTTCAAACTTCACTCATACATCACACATTATATGGGACATATGCACATGCATTTTTTTCATGATCCGATTAACGATAGCCGAATAGTGGCCATTTTAAGGCCGAAAATGCATCAAAATTGCACATTTTCACCATTCCGGACCCGGATCTCAGTTATGCATGGATGGATTTCATTCAAATTTGGTACATACATTAAACATAATAGGACCTTGATGCACGTCATTTTTTTTTTCGGATCAAGTTTGAAATAGCCGACTGGCGGCCATTTTGTTTTAAAGAATTCAGTTCTGGATCCGTATCCGAGACATGTCTGGATTGATCAAGTTCAAACTTCACACACACATGGTACATCATGTCACAAATAGATATGTGCATTTGTTTCATGATCTGCTTAACAATAGCGGAATGATGGCCATTTTAAGGCCGAAAATGCATCAAAATCACGTATTTTCACAATTCCAGAACCGGATCTCGGTCATGCATGGATGGATTTTGTTCAGATTTAGCACAATGTGTTGTACATATGCAGGTGCATTTCGGTCATGATCTGCTTTGAATGTATATGTCACTCAAATATGAACGGAACGGGGACGTGTCATTGACAATGACTTGTTATATAATGGGAATGTGGTCAGACGCCGTGATCAATATTTATCAATTAAGTTTCAGAGGGGGGGGTTGGAATTAAGTTTTCCTTATCAGACATCGGTCTTTTGAAGTCTTCCCTAACTAACCTTGAATGTTAAAGAATTTGATTGCTTGGTATCTGCATAATTTGTTGAGGTATAGATGCCTGAGAGTGCAAGTTTGTCATAAACCCTAGTTTTTGCAGGGATAACACGAGTTGTTATTCAAACTAAATGTCAACCAAATCTTCGTGCAGTGTTGCTGGCTCTAGTATTTTTGAAAATTGATTAAAATGTGTCTAAACAGAAGTTCATAAACAAATGCAACGGTCTGTTTCTAAATAGCAATTGAATGCTGCTTAGCTCGAAAGATCAAATAGAAACTTGCAAGAATTTAGTGTCTTGAGTATACAAGTATATTAAAATTGAGCTGTAATAACAATTTGGATGTAAAGTGAGCAGTAACATTTGAACTGATTAAGAGAACCAGTACAGTACTATACTATTAACATCTGTTACTTGGATAGCAATGTTTTTATGGGGGGGGGGGGGGGAGTGCAAAAAAAAAGGACTTTACTCAACATCTTATCAGACGTGCATTCCAGGCATGTTGTATCTTGCAAACTATACAAGTGAAATATCATTTACAATTATAATTTATAAAATAAATAATAAACAACCAAAAAGGTGATCATGTTATCTCTAATTGACATGCAGGTAACAGACTTTGAAAGTTGTCACTTTTTTGTTTTACAAAAAGAAATTGTTCTTTTAGTGCTTTTAGCTAACCTAACCACTAAAGAATCCAGACTGGACGCATCTGCGGGCATTTGACTGCAATTATTCATGATGTGGGTGTATGAAAGTAAACATGACTGTTTAAAGGTTGACTCGATCGCAGAGATGGATACTTTAACTTTTTAAGTGCGAAGGCGATACTTTCATCCATCTTTACTGAAAACAAGTCGATTTAAATGTCCAATGTATATAAGTAGTCTCAAAATCGCCGGGACCTCAGAACGGAAATGTCCTGGACATTAACATAGACAAGATATGACACAACGTTACAGCGGCACTCTGATTCGTTGTTAATGCTCGTCAACAACTTTTAATTAGCAAAATCTTCAGGATGATTTCGCTTCGGTCTCACTCCAACGCAGTGGGTCGCCTGGACATGCGTCCAGTCAGGATTTCTTTCGCAGTCGGGCTAGTTTTGGCAATCACGTTAAAAAGGCTAAACTGATTGTATTTTTTTTGTCAAACAAAAAAGAAGTCTTGACTTTGCCAGGCTAATAACACCACTGAAATCTAGTGACCATATTTCAGTTTGATATTAGACCCAAAGCGTATACAATACGTGTAAAATGCATTGTTTAACATGAAACTTGAACACTAGCTGCAAGAAGATTGTTTAAAAAGTATACAATCGCCTATTCCATTAAGTTAGCCATGAGATGTGTAATGCCACTAAAATAACAGTATGGCCAATATTCGGAAATAGTTTATTTAGTTCGAAGCATAAAGATGAAAATGCCAACATCACTTCAAGTATGTCCAGCCAGTTATCGATTAGTTCTAGTGAGCCATCTATTTTATGTACACCACTCTTTATAGGCTAACATTCCCCAATAACTTGTACAATAAATTATATCTGTAACAAAGTATATGTTATGAATTTAATGCACATTCAAAAATAATCTATTAACTATGCTGTATATTAATTTAGAATGGCTGACATGCATATTAAGCAGTGTGTCAATCTTTTTTGTATCAAAAGCTATTAGTTTTATGCTATTAATTAGATAAACATTGAATTCCTGAATGAACATAGTCATTACTTTTATGTCATGTGCTTACCCGGTAGTAGAGATCAGACTGCCATATCACATAAAATAAGTGTGACAGAATTTGACACCTTTCCACACTTAAAAACGATTCAATGCAATAGCACAAAATGTTTGATGTCATGGTTATTATATGTTATTAATATTTGTATTAGGAAATATTTGTTTTTGGAAGTTTTGCAAATGCCAAACAAATGTGGTGATAGTTAAAAAATATACCGAATCACAAGTATGTAACAAAAAACAAAATAATACTGTAAAACATGTCTTTTTTTTAGCTAGCATGTTATTTTAGCTAAACTGTAATTTCACTAATTCAAGATGTCACTTATTTAAAATAAAGTGTATTTTCACAATGAAATTGTTGACACTTTAGCTAAATTATGATTCAGTTAATTCATGCATCTAGCTATTTAAACATGTTTTATGAAAGAGCTCGGAAAATGTAAGAAAATGCAATTCACAGCTTTTTGTCTCCCATGTGCAAAGCACAAAATGGGAGTCTTTGCAGTTAGTGTGTCTGTATATGTGTGTGTGTATGTGTGTCC